TTCCTCCTCCTCCCCCTCCTCCTCCGCCACCCCTCTTCTAAACAACTCCTCCTCGTCGCACCACCAGTCGGCAAGGTGATCCACGCGTTTCGCTCGAGACTTCTCCAGAATTGGTGACCACGGGCTGATTGTTTTCAAAATTCGGTTCACGCTTCAGCGCAACGCACATTCGTTTTGGAAAGGTTTATAGAGGCCTCCTAGATGGGGTCCGAGTAGATGGGGTCGAAGGGTCGCGCCGCATCGCCAATGCATCGCCGATGCATCGGCGACGCATCGGCGATGCATCGGCGACGTATCGTCGACGTCGGCGATGAGTCGGCGACATCGGCGTGGACAAAAACCGGGCTCCGCATCGAGCCGCATCGTCGATGTATCGGCGATGCGGCGCGATCCTCCGACCCCATCTGCTCCGACCCCGTCTAGGAGGCCTAGAGTTTAGCAATTACACGGAAGGAGGGCGCCCGGTTTGCAATGTGTTGCTCTCGCCCCCGCGCCGCGCACATTGGGTTACAGATATCCCACGCTGGCCTTTTCAAAACTAAGCTCTCGCCACATACTTTCTCATACCTTATGTTCAAAAACTTTCGAATGTACAGAAGAGGTGCAGTTACGGATGAACGGCGGGTCATAAGGAGGAGGAGGAGGAGGAGGAGGAGGAGGAAAAGGAGTGGGAGGAGGAGGAGGAGGAGGAGGGGGAAAAGGATAGGGGGGAGAGGAGAGGAGGAGGAGGAGGAGGAGGAGGAGGAGGAGGAGGAGGAGGAGGAGGAGGAGACCGTCGTCATCGTCGTCGTCGTCGTCGTAGCTCTGCGGGGAGCTGCGGGGAGCTTGCAAGACGGACCGCGAATCCTTCCCAGCACGGGGCCCTCGCTGGAACGGCATGCCCAAAGGGGCGCTCGCCTCTCCAGGGGGGCGCTTCCCGCAGGGAGGAGTGCTGGCTTACGCTCCTCCTCGTCCTCCTCGTCTCTCGCCTCCTCCTCGTCCTCCTCCTTCTCCTCGTCCTCCTCCTCGTCCCTCTCCTCATCCTCCCTCCTCCCTCCTTCCTCCTCCCTCCTCCCTCCTTCCTCCTCCCTCCTCGTCCCTCCTCCCTCCTCCCGTCTCCCTCTGCCCCCCTCCCTCCTTCCCCCTCCCTGCTCCCTCCTCCCTTCTGCCTCTTTGATGAAGACACAGCAGCCGCGGGTCCCTTAAACGCGACCCGGGGGCGAAGAGCTCCCCTTACTTTCGACGACAGCCGAACGTCTTATGCACACTATGGTGCCAGTCCTCTACACACCAGCGTCCTGATCGAGCCTGGCGAAAACATCTCGTCAAACTCCAGAAGTTCCGCGAAGGAAGGGGACAACGAGAGCAGAAACAGGACAAGGAGCACAAAACAGAGACATTAAGCACAAGAACACGGTACGATTTAGCCGTGCACTCGCGCGTGCGCAGACCAGGCCCCTTGGACGGCGCCCGCGCAGTGGGCCTCGCGAGCAGACGCGTACACCAACAGGGAAGACACCAGGAGAGCGAGAGAAGACGCGGAAGACGACGGCGAGGGAAGAGCGGAGGGACCGGAGTGGATGCAGAGTCACGGCGCCAGCCTCCAGTGGCAGGCCGGACACAAATGCAAGAGCATAGAGAAGGACAGTGCAGACTCAGAAGGCAAACTGGTCGTGCCTGGTGTGCCGTGCAAACGCAGCGGCCGACGGCCGAGGCCGCGCGAAACGACCACCCCTCCAGGCAGGCGATCGCGCGGGCCGCCGTCGCCCAAGCAGGCGTGCCGGCGCGCAGCCTGGCCCAGGTGCGGACGAGAGGGCAGAAAAGGGGTAGGAAAAGCGTGGGGCAGCGCCAACACAAAGCAGTGCAAACTTACCCTGGCGACGTACCTGACCCCTGCGCTATGCGGGGCATGAGTAGCTCGGGAGATGTTCTGCGGAGGTGATGACGTGACATGGGCGCATATATACTTCTGCGAGCGGCATTCGTGAGGCTCGCAGCCCCCCAAGGATTGCGAGGTCCCGCTCAGATCTGCGTGGTGCCTCACTCCGCTGGACCCGCCACCAGTATTCGAAAGTAGCGACGGTTTCGCAGATCGCAGCCCCCCAAGGACGGCGAGGTCCTGCTCAAATCTGCGCGGTGCCTCACTCCGCTGGACCCATCAGCAGCCCTCGAAAGTGGCGACGGTTTCGCAGATCGCAGCCCCCCAGGGACGGCGAGCTGCCGCTCAGATCTGCGCGGTGCCGCACCCCGCTGGACCTACCAGCAGCCCTCGAAAGTGGTTACAGTTTCGCAGATCGCAAAGCTGACCCCCCAGGCAGCCCGCGAAAATGGCGACGGTTTCGCAGATCGCAGCCCCCTAGGGACGGCGAGCTACCGCTCAGATCTGCGCGGTGCCTCACTCCGCTGGACCCACCAGCAGCCCTCGAAAATGGCGACAATTTCTCAGATCGCAGCCCCCCAAGGACGGCGAAGTCCCGCTCAGATCTGCGCTGTGCCTCACTCCGCTGGACCCACCAGCAGCCCTCGAAAACGGCGACAGTTTCTCAGATCGCAGCCCCCCAAGGACGGCGAGCTACTGCTCAGACATGCGCGGTGCCTCACTCCGCTGGACCCACCAGCAGCCCTCGAAAATTGGCGACAATTTCTCAGATCGCAGCCCCACAGGAACGGCGAGCTGCCGCTCAGGTCTTCGCGGTGCCTCACTCCGCTGGCCCACCAGCAGACCTTGAAAATTGGCGACAGTTTCGCAGATCGCAGCCCCCCAGGGACGGCGAGCTGCCGCTCAGACATGCGCGGTGCCTCACTCCGCTGGACCCACCAGCAGCCCTCGAAAATTGGCGACACTTTCTCAGATCGCAGCCCCACAGGAACGGCGAGCTGCCGCTCAGGTCTTCGCGGTGCCTCACTCCGCTGGCCCACCAGCAAACCTTGAATATTGGCGACAGTTTCGCAGATCGCAGCCCCCCAGGGACGGCGAGTTGCCGCTCAGATCTGCGCGGTGCCTCATTCCGCTGGACCCACCAGCAGCCCTCGAAAGTGGCGACGGTTTCGCAGATCGCAGCCCCCCAGGCAAGGCAAGAGGAGACAAGCAGGAGGGGGGGCGGGAGGCGGGAGGCAGGAGGCGGGAGGAAAGAAGGACGCGCGAGCAGTGCTCTGTTCAAAACGAATACCCGACCAAGGAGGGCCGGGAAACACAGCACACGGAGGCCAGGGAGGCACCTAGAAGGGAGCGGGGAGCAGGGAGCGGAGCAGCGACGTCATGCAACAAAAAGGCGATTCACCGAATATGCAAGCTAGGGAAGAGATTGAAAGAGAGAGAGAGAGAGAGAGAGAGACAAGGAGAAGGGACGACAGGAAGTAGGAGGAGGCCCTCAGAACTCGTAGAGCATGGCATCTGCTGGACGTCACAATGCCATAGTCGTGCTGTTCATTGTCGCGTTATCGTCGCACCGCTGGTGCCAGAGCCGCTCTTGAAACGCGTGGTGTCTGTGATGCCCGAGCCGAGGGTGTTGCACGCCGTGTCCTGCTGTCCTCGGAGGCGGTGTCGGAGCCAGAGTGGGAGTTTGGGGGGGAGCCGGGGTCTGAGCGACACGGCTGGAGTCGGACACGGCGCCTTGACCAGAGTTGCCACCGGAAGGCGAGCCAAAGCTGGAGTGCCCCACTCCCGTGGAAAATATCTCTGCCACTGTCCTCGGGGCTGGTGTCGGCGCCAGCGGCGTATTGCAGACACCTGTTGAGCTGTCGAGCATCGCAGTGCTGGTCCCCGCCATCATGCAAGAGCCTGTCGTGTTGCTGGTCGATCATAATGCGTATGAGTGGATGTCAGAGTCGAGGGTGCTGAAAGCCGTCGTGCTGACCTTGGAGCTGGTGTCGGAGCCAGAGTTGGAATGTGGGCAGCTGGAGTCGGAGAGACGAAGCCAGAGTCGGAGGTGGCGCCGTGACCAGAGCAGGCCCTGAGGGCGAGCCATAGCCAGCGTGGGAGCCAGCGTTGTGGTAGGGACTGCGCCAGAAGTTGGGGCCGGAGCTGGAGACGGCAGGGTGTCTGATGCAGAATTGGTGGAGCCAGCGTGGGCACCGGCGCTGATGCTGGCGTCGGTGCTGGCGTCGGCGCTGTCGTAGGCGCCGTCGTTTGTGTTGTTGTCGTCAGTGCTTGCGTCGGCGGTGGAGTACATGAGTGCTGCGCAGGCTTCTGACGGGGGGGGCTTAAAAAGGCTTCTGAACGGGGGGGGTGCGTCGTCGTCGGCGTTGCAGAGGCTTCTGAACGGGGAAGGCTTAGGACGGGAGAGTGTCGTTGACGCATCCTGGGTTTACTCTGGTCTTCCGCCTCCTCCTCTTATCGTTTTGTGTGTTTTTGTTTCTCTCTCTCTCTCTCTGTTTCCCACTTCCCCCACCTTCTTCCCGCTCTCTCTCTCTCTCTTTTCCAGTTTGTTTGCCTCTCTCTCTTTCTCTCGCTCCCTCCTTTTCTCCACCACTCCTCCCTCTTTCCTCATCCTCGCCCTCCTCTCATTCTTCCTTCTCTTCCTCCTCCTCTTCCTCCTTCTCCTCCTCCTCCTCCTCCTCCTCCTCCTCCTCCTCCCTCTCCTTCTCCTCCTACTCCTTCTGCTGCTCCTCCTCCTCCTCATCCTCTTCCTCCTCCTCCTGCTGCTGCTCCTCCTCCTCCTCCTGCTGCTCCTCCTCCTCCTCCTTCTCCTCCTCCCCCTTCCACTCCCACTCTCCCGATCTTCATTTGTGCACAGTCTGAGCTGCATTCCCAGGCTGGTCTGGTTTACTGCTAAGGACGGGAGGAACGCAAGATGAAGCTGCACTGCTCTCCCTCATTATCTCCGTTCTCTGTCCCCATCTTTCCTCTCATTGCCGTCCTCCTACCCCTCCTCCTGCACTCTTCCCTCCTCCTCCTCCTCCTCCTCCTGCTCCTCCTCCTCCTCCTCCTCCTCCTCCTCCTCCTCCTCCTCCATGCCATCCCGCCGGCTCCTCCTCATCGGTATCCTTCTTCGTATTCTTCCTCGCCCTCCCACCCTCCCTATGGAAAACTGGGGAGGCGGAACGTCGCACCGCAGCTCTGGAGCGACGCTCGCCATGCGGTGCGGCGGCGTACAAAAAAGTCAAACAAAAAACTAGTACGGGCATGCCTCGTGCTCCTGCCACACGTCGCCGCGCAGGCGCGGGCCTCCGTGCCTGCTCCTCCGGCAGCACACACGAGAGAGCCCGCCCCCCTGCGCCGACGGGAGGGAAGATCCGCCGACCCCCTGCGGTTCTTGTCGGCGCGGGAGGTGCTGGCCCCCCCCCCTCCTCCTCCTCCTCCTCCTCCTCCTCCTCCTCCTCCTCCTCCTCCTCCTCCTCCTCGTCCTCCTCCTCCTCCTCCTCCTCCTCCTCCCCGGACCTCTCCCTCCGCGGGGCCCGGCCCGGTCGGTCTGGAGGGGGGGGGGAAGGCCGCGCCGGCCCCGCTCGAGGCCGTGCCGCTCGAGGCCGCGCCGCTCGAGGCCGCTCGCGGCGCAGCCCTGGCGAGAGGCCGCGGCCCGGTCGGTCTGGAGGGGGGGGGAGGTCGGGCCGGCTCCTCCTCCTCCTCCTCCTCCTCCTCCTCCTCCTCCTCCTCCTCCTCTTTGGCCCCTTTTCGTCCACGTTTGCTGCAGACCTCCTTCTCCGCTTTGGCCTCTGCCCAACATGGTGGGGCGTCCCTCCCCATCATCAGGAGCAGAGATACAGGCCGACCAGCTTAAGGGGGGGCAAGCGCGCCACGGGCCTCACGACGGGCCAGGAGGGCCCCAAGAGGCCCACGAGTGGGTCCAGGAGAGCCCCGGGTCGCCGATGGATCGTTCCAGGGCGCCCAAGAGGGCCCCCAGACGGCCTAAGAGGCCCCCGAGACGCCCCAAGAGGCCCCCAAGAGGCGTCCCAAGAGGGCCCCCAGAAGCAAAAATCGTCCCGTTCCTTAGGGGGACGTATGATTTTAGTACATTCGCCTCTTGGGCTTTCACAGCGTCCAAGGCGGCCCAAGAGGCATCCAGGATCGCCCAAAGACGGCCCAGGAAGCCTCCAAGAAGGCTCCAAGACGGCCCAAGAGGGCCTCAAGACGGCCCAAGAGGCCCCCAAGACGGCTCCAGGAGGGGGCCCAGGCGGGGGGACCTGAACGGAAATTTCGAGCCCTCGGCCCCAAGAAGCCTCCAGGAGGCCCCGAGAGGCACCCAAGAAGCCCCCAAGAGGCTCCAAGAGGCCCACCAGAGGCCCAAAAGAGGCCCCAAGAGGCTTCAAAACGGCACCCCAAATACTTCAAAAATGCCAGGAGGCCCCCGAGAGACCTACCAGGAGCCCCGGGTCGGCGGTGCGGCGTAAGCCCAAGAATCAGAATGCAGGGAATCAGAATGCAGGGAAGCGTAGGTCAGGCGTCTGATGGCGGGTGGCGTTGCATCAGACAGCGCGCGCGCGATTGTTGCACCTTGGCTTGCATGTTTCTCTCGTGTGAGTCCCACCCCTCTTCTGGACCTGGATTGCTTAGCGGATCATCTCTTCCAACCTCCCTTCTGGTCCTGCGGGACGGGGCCCATGACTGCTCCTCAAAGTTCGACACCCTCTCCCCCACTCGACCACCCGACGACCAGGAAGCATAACCCCACACTCATTTTCTCCCACGGCGACATGACGACACCGTCGCGATGCGTTCGGCCAGGCCAGTCGTAAACGGACCACACACACCATCCCTGTCAGAGCAACACCAAGCGCACGTGGCGGCAGAATCTGGAGCGTGAGCGAGCACCCCACAACGATGGCGGGGATAGGGGGGTGACATGTGCCCACGAGGGTGGTGCTCTTCCCTCCCTCCCTGAGATCTCCTTCGCCCCAGCCGCCTTGTCGTGCTCGTCGTCCTCTCGCCTCCTCCCACACTGCCCCCCACTCCTCCTCCACCTCACCTTCCGTCCCCCTCTCCTTCCCTCTGCGTCCTCTGCCCCTCCTTTGTCTCCTCCCTCCCTCCCCCCCTCCTCCCCCCCCCTTGTCCGCCCCTCCACCCCCCCATCCTCGTCCTCCCTTCCGCTTGCCCCTTCGTCTCCCGATTCCCCCTCCTCGCCTCCCTTGCTCCCCTGGGCAGGGAGTGCAAGGGAGCGAGGGGTTTGACGAGGGAGGGATGGGGCAGGATTGATTCTGGACACTTCGGCTGCCTCACTCGGTTGCGCTTGTTATCGCGCTGCCTTGCCTCAACAGGTCCTTCAATAAACCCTTCACCTCCTTCAAGTCGGCATCGATGGAATCCATGCGCTTCTGGTTTGCGTGCACCCGGCTGTCCAGGCTGTCGATCTTGTCATGGGAAGATCTGACCGAGCTGAGGAGGTCGTTGCTGGGCGTCTCTGGCTCGGCACTATCATCTCCATGTTCGTGCCGGTCCCTGCAATTCTTTATGGCAAGCGCCACTTCCTCTATCTTCTTGTCAGGGTGCCTTTTCCTGAACGCATCACCGAACCACTGAGCCATGATGTGATCCACTTCCTCGATCCAGTCGCTCTGGGACTGGCTCAAGTGGTCGTTGTAACGATCGCCGACAATCGCAATGAACACGTTCGCCAGAGTGCCGGTGATCACGAGCGTCACCACCCAGAAGATCACGTACCCCCACGCGGAAGATGCTGTCCATATGTACTCTCTGGATTTGATTTCGGAGAAGTCCCAGTCGCCCCAGACAAACCTCGGGGAGACGCAAGACGCCAGTTCGGGGAACTCGAGTTTGACTGACGGGAACATTGGCACGACCTCGTCTAAAACTTGACGCGAACCATAGGTGCGCAAACCTCGAGAACAATGGGCGACCAACGCTCATGACGGGACCGTCCACAAGCGTCGGCACCCTCGAGCCTTGCGTTTTTCCGGAGCACCGGTACATGGCGAAGAAGGCGTCCTGGACGGTGGCGAACTCCTTCTGCTCGGCGCCGAACACGGTCCGCACGGTCAGCGCGCAGCCGAACACGCAGACCAGCAGGAAGCCTCAGGCATTGCAAGGAGCTGAAGCAGGAAGAAAGAAACGCAATACAGTCGAGGCGTTGACCTAAGGAACCCTGAATAAGGAACGAGGCCCCTATTTGCCATTAGTTGAACTTCGATTTCGTATCGAAAACCCAAGGGGAATCCAAGGCAAGCTGCGAAACTATTAAGGAACACGGAGCCCCTCCCCAACGAAAAGGGTTCCTTCTTCAGGGCCCCGACTGTACCACCACCACCACCACCACCACCACCACCACCACCACCACCACCACCACCACCACCACCACCACCACCACCTGGAGGATGGAGGCAGAGGGTGGTCAGGGGTGGTGGTGGTGTATGTCGTCTCGGGCGCTCTTGCGGGACTTCGTGCCAACCACCACCACCTGAAGAATGGAGGCAGAGGGTGGTCAGGGGTGGTGGTGGTGCATATCGTCTCGGGCGCTCTCGCGGGACATCGTGCACACCCGCGTGCCGCACCCCACCACCTGGAGAATGGAGGCAGAGGGTGGTCAGGGGGTGGTGGTGGTGGTGGTGCGTTTCCTGCTGCCGATGAAGGAGCTCTCGGGGGCGGCCAACGGGGGGGTGTTCCGGGGGGGGGGGGGGGGGGGGGGAACTCATGGCTCGCGGCATGTGCGCGGCCCAGGGGGGGGGGGGGGGGGAACGTCATGAAATAAGAAGGAGGCGCCATGAAGGGGAGATATCATGCCCCACGCAATGACCCCCCCCCTAGCCATCCCCCCCCCCTCTTGGCCGCCCCCCAAGCTCGAGGACGACGACGACGAATCTCGGCGGGAGGCGTCGGGACTGCCAGGCTCGCAAGCGGGCCCGTCGAGGCAGACTTCGGCCCTCCCAGGTGCTTTCCGGAGCAGATCCCGAAGGGATGTTGGGCTCGGCCGCCGTTACCTCGGCGGGCCCTGCTCCGAGAGCTGGCATTGGGAAGGGAGCGCGGAGGGAGGACCGCCAAGCAAGTCATAGGCCTAGACGAGAGGAAGCCGCGCACACACACACATTCACACATACTCACATGCACACACACGCATTCACACACGCATTCACACACATTCACACACACGCACACACACACCTTCACATTCACATTCACAGTCAGAGTCACACACACGCACACGCACAGGCACACGCACACGCATACACAACACACAACAAACACAACACACACAACACACAACACACAGCACACAACACACAACACACACCCCACACACCCCACACCCCACACCCCACACCCCACACACAACACACCACACACACACCACACACAACACACACCACACACCACACACACCACACAACGACAACACACAACACACAACACACAACACACACACAACACACACACACTCACATAAGATTTCGGAGGTCCAAGAGGATTTCTTGGGTCGGTGCTGGGCCCCCCTGGCGGCGCCTGTGGCGCCGCCAATGGCGCGCTCCGCGCGCAAGGGAAGGGGTTCCCGCGCCGATCCGCGACATCCACGCGGAACTCCGACAGTTTATGCAAATGCCGTTTTTCTTTTCCGAGTCATCAGAGATCATATGCGGTGATCATCAGAGACGCACTCCGGACCGAACAATATTGTGGCCACTGGCAGGAATGAACATAGGCTTGTCAAGGGTGCTTCATGGATTGAACCGCCTCCTTTGGCGAACATGAGGGAGGAGGGACAGGGAGAGAAGAAGACGGGAGGAATCCGGGGCCTAAAAACTGCATGACCTTCGCGTCGACCAGCGTTTTGCCGATGGCCTGCATCTGCGGCCCCAGCTCGGGGAAGAGCCGGAGCATCTGGATCAGGTTGAACGTTTCCTTGAGCAGGGACCGACCGCCCCGGCAATCCTATAAGCCTACCACGACATGTTCTTAGAGCTCAACAATGTTCTAATAACCAAGACAGGTTCCTAGAACAGAACCCCGATGTATCTTAAACAACAGTCTCAGCCAGAAATGTTCTCAGAACACTTCGTGCGAACCACGAAAGGTTCTTACAACATTCTTTGGTGGGTCTATCGGCAAGCCAAGACGTTTCGTCACTGTTTGATCGGTGCAATGCCCAACAACTCATGGTGTCCCGCACCGACAGCGGCCGCTGCTGGGCAGGCCGCCTTCTGTACCCAAATGGACACGGGCCGCGGCGGCGTGGACAGCGAGTCCTGCTCAAAAGCGAACAGGAACTGCTGCCGGTCTTTGTGCCCATTCTTTGGAGGACGAGGAGGAGGAGCTCTTCCAAGACATTTGACGTCTCGATTTTTTCGAGACACGGGCCCCGGACCTCCCGACCACTTCCCCAGGGCCGGTTTGTCGCCCGTTTTTCGGCGGTCCCGAGGCCCGGCGAGGGCCCCGAGAGGCCGAAAACGGCGAAAGACCTCCGCCTCGATTTTTTCGAGACGCCCGACGTCTGGGTCTCCGTGCTCATTTCAGTCGCCCCGATCTCCAGGAAGAAGGTGAAGCCGAAGATCTTCTGCATGTGGACGGCGTACTCCGCGATCTCCAGGAGGTCGACCTGGCGACGCGGCGGGAGCCAGCGGGCCGCACAGGCGCACGGGGCTCCCGGACGTCCGCGGGGCAGGCGCTCCGCCAGCGCGAGGACCACCCTTCCCCCCCTGGCTGCAGGGGGGACAGCGAGAGCGAGGAGGAGGACATGAGATGAGAGCGAGGAGGAGGAGGAGGAGGAGGAGGCATGAGGAGGAGGAGGAAGAGGAGGAGGAGGAGGAGGGAGGAGGAAGAAGAAAAGGAGGAGGGAGGAGGGAGGAGGGTAGAGTGTGGAGGGAGGAGGAGGGAAGTAAAGGGGCGGGCCTCCTCAGAAGGCTCGGACGTCCCCCGGCCTTCCGAGCAGTCCCGCCGCCCTCCGGGAGAGCGCTCTCCTTGTCACTTTCCCCCCCCCCTCGCTCGTCGCCGACTGGGCTGCACGCAGGCGCGATCCTGAGCAAGGAGTGGCCTCCCCAGACATCCGACGTCTCAATTTTTTCGAGACACGGGCCCCGGACCTCCCGACCACTTCCCCGGGGCCGGCTTGTCGCCCCGAGCCGTTTATCGATGGTCCCGAGGCCCGGCGAGGGCCCCGAGGCCGAAAACGGCGAAAGACCTCCGCCTCGATTTTTTCGAGACGCCCGATGCTGTGGGAAAAACACAAAACACACGCGCAAAAACACACACTGTGGGAAAACACACACACACAAACACACACACACAACACAACACACAACACAACACAACACAACACAACACAACACAACACAACACAACACAACACAACACAACACAACACAACACAACACAACACAACACAACACAACACAACACAACACAACACAACACACACACACACACACACACACACACACTGTGTGTGTGTGTTTTCTTTTCCCACAGTGTTTTTTTTTTCTACAGGCCTCGCTCGTCGCCGACTTGGCTGCACGCAGGAGCGATCCTGGGCAAGGAGTGGCCTCCGGTGCGCGGCCTCGAGGTGGCCCGCGGGGGCGCCGGGCCCAGGCGCGCCAGCAGGTGCCGCACGGGGGCAGCCGCGGCCCCGCACCAGGAGGCCACTCCGGCCAGGGGTCGCGCCTATGGTTCTGTCGGGCGTGTCCCCCTACAACAGGGGGATTCGAGGAAAAATCAAACATACCTCAAAAATGCTCCCAAAAGGTCAAAAAGTAGGCAAAAAGTAATCCCCAGGGTATTTTTTCTACGATTTTTGGATTATTGTTTGGGGTATTTTTTATTTTTCGTCGAAAATCCCCCCTGTAGGGGGACAGGCCCGACTTACGCCTACAGTCGACTGAGCATTTTCTTGGGGTGGAGGGCTCAGGGTGAAATCCAGATGGGCATTTGCACCTCGAAAATCAATCCGTCTCGGGATCCACCTTTTGCAGATTCAAGCCTCAAACATGCATCGAAACGGCACTTCGGATTTCACCCTTCGCCCTCCACCCAGAGGAAATGCTCGGGTCAGCCCGTATCACAAGGATGCGCGATAAGGATGCAAGGGCCTCGGACGCCCACTTCGAAGCTCCCGAGCGGGGCGCGGCCAACGAGAGCGAAGGATGGACCGCGAGGGCAAGGACGCAGGGGCACCCCTGGGAAAGTTGCCCATCCTTGCCATGCGGGTTGACTGCACGCGTGGCCGACTCCCACCCCTTGTCGACGCCTTCTGCGCCACCCCAGGCGCGCCTCGCGCGCCAGGGAGGGGTGCGCTGCCGAGCCCGATAACAAGCATGTCCAGGACGGGCTTTCGCGAGCATCGGATGGGCGATGATCCTCACCATCGGGCAGCCCAGCCCGCAACAATCGCAGAGCCCGATGCTCCAGGTCCGAGCATGAGGACAGTGGGAACTGCTGGGGAATCTGGATATCCCCCAAAAAACCGTCGTGTCAGAATCATGTTCGGCCCCCCTGGGTGTTGGGATGGGGGTCAAGGACTGCAAAGAAATTGTCCACGGACGTCCGGAAGTTGATGCCTAGCGAGATTTTGTCTAATCGAGACCTGTCCGTCTCTGATCGTATAAACATCTTCTGAGAAGGGGTCGACGTTCAGCTGGGCCTGCTTTACAGTCAACACGGTCAACAAGCAGAGAAGGACAATATGCGTGAAAGCATGCATGATGTCGTACAGCTGTGCGCCGTCGCTGACGTATCCGTTGAAGTCAGTGACAATCTGCTTGACTTCGTTACCGACGTACGCCAAGGAGATGCCAGTGAATACAGAACAGAAGAAAAAAGGATAAACCCACGACGCGATGTCGTTGATCGGCATCCACAAGAATATCCTCGTCCTCTGGATCGGCAGGACCAGCCCGGTAGCCCCGAATTGGACCTCCCTCTGCCTTCTCCTTTCTGCTCCGTTCGGGAGGAGAGGAAGACCGAACGACACAACACGCATCCTACTCTCCTCCTCCTCCTCCTCCTCCTCCTCCTCCTCTTCCCCGCCGCCTTCTCCTCCTCCTCCTCCTGCTTCTGCTCCTTCTCCTACTTCTCCTCCTCCTCCTCCTCCTCCTCCTCCTCCTCCTCCTCCTCCTCCTCCTCCTCCTCCTCTGTACCTCCTCCTCCTCCTCCTCCTCCTCCTCCCTCCTCCTCCTCCTCCTCCTCTCCTCCCTCCTCCTCCTCCTCCTCCTCCTCCTCCTCTCCTCCTCCTCCTCCTCCTCCTACCTTCCTCCTCCTCCTCTCTCCTCCTCCTCCTCCTCCTCCTCCTCCTCCTCCTCCTACTCCTCCTCCTCCTCCTCCTCCTCCTCCTCCTCCCTCCTCCCTCCTCCTCATCCTCCTCCTCCCCCAGACCTCGAGGTTACTGACGAGTACCTTCTGCATGTCCTTGTGGTAGACGGCGAAGCTCACCCTGACGCCCGCGCCCTGGTTCCAGGTGTCCTGGGTGAATAATCAAATGCTGATGCTGCTACGCCATCGGCGAATACCATTGGAATTTCAAAGAAGCAAGAAAGCAACATAAACATGAACGTTCGGAGCTCCGCCTGCATTTCTCGGATCGGCGCTGGACCCCCATTTCCCTGGCGCGCGGAGCGCGCCGGAGGCGGCGCCGGAGGCGCCGTCAGGGGGCTCCAGCGCAGATGCAATACATCCGCGCGGAGCTCTGACAGTTTTATGTGTGTGTGTGCCATCTTTAAAGGGGGCACAAGGACACACAAACAACTAGACACGAATCCGAGGATTCCCCGTGTCTTCCTGAATTTCCTGGGCTTCCGTCCCCCCCACTTCCCATAGGCTCCCATGTTTTCCTGGGAATCGACGATTCACTGTGCCTGTGTGTTTCTTCTTGCCCCGCTGCGAACAAATTGCGAGGCAAGGATCTCAGGGCACCCGTGTCCTTGTCGATGTTGGCGATGGCCTCCGCGGCCAGGGTGCGGTTGTTCCTCCAGAGGAAGGCTCGCTGCACAGAAACGAAACAACTGTTGGAGGTCGGCTTCGGCGATGGCCCCCCTCCCCGAACGCGTGGGAGCGCCAGAGGCGGCACCAGAGGCGCCGCCAGCGGAGGCCCAGCGTTGAACCGAGGAACCCGATCGGACCTCAAAAAAGGTAATGTTTATGCTGACTTGTGTCGTGCCAGTGATGTCGAAAAGCGGCAGGGGGGCAAAACGGAACAAAGATCAACCGACTCCGACTCCGCGTTCCTGCTCGTTCCTCTTCCTCCTCCTGCTCCCCATCCTCCTCCTCCTTCACCTCCCTCCCCTCCTCCTCCTCCTCCTCCTCCTCCTCCTCCTCCCCCTCCTCCTCCTCCTCTTCTTCTTCGTCTTCCTCCTCCTCCTCCTCCTCTTCCGCCTCCTCCTCTTCCTCATCCCCTTCTCTTTTTGCAAACGCCGCATGCCTCAGTCCTCAGTGCATGACCAACCACACGCGACACCATGGCTGGCCACGAAGATTCGATCAAACCGTGATGTTGGTACTGAAGTTGGTATCCACCACAACACCCCCCTGTATCGGGATGCTTTCTGACCAACATCTTCTTCCAATTCCTTGCCCCCGTGACGGGGGGGCTCTATAGCGAAGGCCCAATCATTTGACCTGGGCCCCCGGACTGTAGAACATGCAAACAACACAGGTATGTAAAGAGGAACGAGCTGTCCGAGCATGCTAGAGCAATGACCTTGTGCCCAATACGCTCGAGCACCGCAGAGTCAAGACGACCACGTCCCTGTCACCACCCAGGTTGGGGGCGCTGCGCACCGAGGGAGCCCCTCAGACACGCTCTGCATCTCCAGACTCCGCTCATGCGCTCCCATTGGTGCCTGGGCCGACCAGCGGCCCTGGGGGAAGGAGTAGGAAGAGGAACGCGCTCCACGCCCAGAACCTCACCACGAGGCCGGAGGGGAAGGGCGGCGGCACCAACGGAAAACACGGCCCTCGAACCTGTAATGTGCCCGCCGAGCTCTTCCAGAAGCGTCGGATCACAAGAAGGGTGACGCAAGACGGCCCTCTTGACACCCGCATCCGCCAAATCATTTCCAGCACGCCTGAAACGCTCCTCCTGAGAAATCCCAGCCTCCTCTGGATCACTGTGCGCATCGGCTCTCGCCAGGGGGGCGCAACCCATTAGAGCCAATGGTAAGCCCCTGGAGCGAAAGGCCAGGACACGCGTGCTTGGGAGACTTACAAACATCGAGACCTAGGGAGTACTGTGAAACTACATTACTACAAGCACTGTAAGCCTCTGCCTCGCCGTCTAGGAGTGAACCCCATCCCACAGAAAGCCGAAAATTCCGCGGCCTGGGGCGACTGAGCATATGGAGGCCAGACGGGGGCAGAGATTTTACATAAAGCACGGGCCTGGGGGTCCACCGTGGCAACACGCCCAACACTGCGCGAGAACTCAGGACCCGCCAACAAAAAGGGACCCCCAGATGCCCAATGGAGGAGAGGTGACAGTCAGTTGCGCAGCTCCAGGACGCACAGTCTCCAAGACTTGCCAGCTGACTGAGATTTCACCTCCTCCTCCTCCTCCTGTTCCTCCTCATTCCTCCCCCCTTCTCTCGCCCTCCTCCTCCTCCTCCTCCTCCTCCGATGCCCCCGCCGCCGAGGAGGCCCGTCCTTGGCAGCCTCACGTCGCTGCCGTAAGGCCCCTTCCCCACGATGCACGTGTCGGGGTCCTCCCCGAGGCCTGCGCCCGCGCTTCAGGTCTTTCGCTCCTCCTCCTCCTCCTCCTCCTCCTCCTCCTCCTCCACCTCTCTCCTCCTCCTCCTCCTCCCTCCTCCTCCCTCTCCTCCTCCTCCTCTCCTCCTCCTCTCCTCCTCCCCCTTTTCCTGTTCCTCCTCATGTTCCTCGTCCTCCTCCTCCTCTTCCTCCTCCTCCTTCTCTTGCTCCTCCTCCTCCCTCTCCTCGCTCCTTTTTCTATCGTCAAATCGTATGTCTCCTGCTGTTCGTCGCACTCCTCCCTCCTGCTTCATCGTCGCTTCACCTGCGTCTTGGCTCCCTCGTCCAATGTAGGAACAGAGCACTCCATCAACAGAATATCTCGGACATCCGCACGGATTTCGCAGATCGGCGCTGGGGTCCAGCGTGCACAGCCGAAAGCTTACTCCCCAAACCATGCTTGCCCCATGGGTCTGGACTTCCCTGGTGGGTGTGTCGTGGATTCGCGATTCGCCCCGTGACCGCCCGTGGCCGCTGGTCGCTGCTCGCAGTCGCCGCTCGTCGTCGCTTGGTGGGCGCGTCGAGGCTTGGCCACGTTGCCGCCCGTGCCCGCTCGTCGCCGCTCGCAAGTCGCCGCTCGTCGTCGCTGGGTGGGTACGTCGAGGATTCGCCACGTGGTCGCCCACGCCCAGTCGTCGCCTCTCGTAGTCGCCGGTCTTCGTCGCTGTCTGGCTTCGCGGCACGTCGCCGCTGAGAGCTAACACATCTTAGAAAGTGCAGCATTGGTTCTGCGTCATCTGTTGCATCACATTGCTTGCACGATGTGATTTGCACACGCCACAAAGCTTCCGCCATGTAGTTTGCACCGCGCAGCTTGCGCAATACATGGCGGGTTCCCGGACCCTGAACCCAACAGACGCGTCATCTCTTGGAGGGTTCCTCGTACTCAAAATTTCCTCCTCCTCCTCCTCCTCCTCCTCCTCCTCTTTCCCCCTCCACCTACACTACAACCTGAGGCGCATTAGAAACTCACTTCTTCACCTGTTGACAGGCCGCCGTGGCGAGAGCAACTCTCCCCTGACCCCAGGCGACCTCGGGCCTCGTCTCCAAAGTGGCTTTGCGTCTGGGACGCATGCCAACATGCAATTTAACAAGACTGACAACAAGAAAACAACGATGCATCTGGCCAACTTTTGACCCCCGAGCGCAGCAATCTTTTCTCGATCTGACTTAGTGTGAGCACAGTTAGACGCGGGACACAAAGCCTAGCGAGCTTTACAAGCTCGTCGGCTCCTTGGCCAACACATGCCTGGCAAAACCACAGGCCGCTGTACGATTCAATACGAGGCGAACTATGTATCTGATGCGGCCTGCGAGCGCACTGAGAATGACAAAGCTCCAGGAGACCAGCCTTGCTACTGATCCTGAGCCAGGCCTTGCACTTGAAACCGTCGATGAAGACCAGGTTTGAAGACCCTGAAAACGAGAGGTGGTTCTAGAAACCAATCCAGTCTGGCCCGCCAAAGTCTTGTGGTTGGCCTTCGCGCGGGCCGCAACATCTGCTCGCAGGGTCGCCCGTCAAAATCGATAGAGTTCTTGGCAGCCGCCAGGGCCACAACGGCCAGGCGGTTGTGGGCCCGCCAGGCAAGTGCGCCCGCTTCACGAACTTGACAAACGAACCAAAAAGGTAGGTCATCGTTCGCTCCCTGATATGCTTACTCGTTTTCTGCATTGTTGGCGAACCAACGTTCGGTCGATATCTGGCTGCCAGTTGCTCCTTCACTGAGGTGGCACGTCGCTTCTCTGTCGGCGAATATGGGCGTCCGCGGCTCTCAAGAATCGGGCCAAACAAGAGCGTTGCTTACACATGTGGACTCTGGGCCTTTCCGCATTCCTACGACAACACAGTCTGCGTCTACAACAACTGCTACTACTGCACTGCGTCGCGTCCTTTGAAGAGCTCTGACACATGCTGGGGATTCGGCTCGGGGCAATGTCTAGGGCCGGCTGCGCTGCCTCTCGCGGACGCGCGCGCAAATCCTGCGACGCAAACGGCGAGCGACTACGGCGACCATCCAACCCTTCCCGGGCGCGCATGCATGCTGCATTCTCCCGGCGAGTCGCCGCGCCCGATGACGGCGCCTTGCCTTCTGAGAGAACCACCGGGCTGCAATCCCCTGAGGCCAGTGGCCTTCGCAACTGGCGCGCTCTCCTGGCGGAGGCAGGTCAGAGTTCCGCGTGCTCCGCAGCGTCGGCACCAACCCTCGGAGCCAGAAACACGGGCGCGTTTGGGCGCCGATCTTCGCCTGCCCGCGCAAGCATGGATCTCGCGGCAGGTCGGGGGCATCATGTCTGCGGCGACATCCCCACAGCTGGTGGCATAGCGTGTCCGATGGGGCCCCGTACCTCCGACGAAACTGGCGCCCCCCTGCTGACCGCGGCGCTCCATGACTGATCATCCTTAGTATGGGTGCCAAGAAAATCGAACCTCTTGCGTCGTTTGTCTCTTGCCCGGGCCCAGGTCGCAGCCGGATCGACGCCGAGCTCAGCCCCCGAACCCTCGAAGTGCATGGTGGCTTGGGCCCGCGAGCTCTGCTCTTAATGGCATCTTTCTTTGCGCCGAGCTAATCAAGCGCATTGGGGCCTTGAACATTGACAGTCTCGCCGCGGGGGGTCGCCCAATCTTCTGGGGTGTCAGCGCGCCTCTGGCAAAGTCGCTTGCGCTGCTGCGAGATGGCCTCGCGCGCCGCTCCAGCGGCGTTCCGTGGCTTGGAGAACTTCTGCAAGGATTCCTGGCGTCTCGCCGCTGCGCAATCCTTGAGAGATGGCCCTGCCAGATGCAAACCTGAGCGAATCCCACTGGCCGTGGAGGAGCAGCCTCCAGCCCACCCGGTGCCACGCATGCCTGAAACTGTGGCCCTGGGTTTCTTCGGCGTCGTGGGCGCTGGGCCCGTTGCCGCCGCCCTCCGACTGACCTGCGGTCTGCGCCCGCTCTCGGGAAGCGCATTAGCCCCCTTGGACGTCTCCCGTCAAGATTCGATGGCTCGGGCTCCTCGTGAACCCCTCGCCCGCTTGCTCTTCGTCGCCCTGCGCCCTGGGGGCCGCGCCGGCGTCGATGCCCGGGTCGACGGCGGAGGCGTCGACTCGACGGGGGGCGTTTCTCGAATGTCCTCCAACAAGTCCCACGTCAACATTCTGGACCAGGCCGCGCTCTGCGCGCGCCCTGCAATGACGGGGGCAAAAGGCTGCGCGCCCACCGGTGACGACCGCCCCGGGGCAGGCAGGCGACCCGCCAGGTGCCGGGGGGGGCGCCGGATGGAGCGGCGGCATGGGCGCTGCAGAGCTCGAGCCAGACCAGTCAAGTTTCTGGTTGGATTAGTTCATGGAGCTTGAGCCGTCGTAGGGCCCCATGGCGATCCACTTGAGCCGTCGCGGGGCCGCTGGCCCGAGTGGGCGGCGTCCGTTTGCCGCTGGATCCCACAGCCCCGCTCTCTGATGTCCCCGCGTCGTGGCGGGCTGTTCCTCATCGCGCCCCTCGCACTGCGGGGCCCTGGGGTCAGCCTGATGGGTCTCTCACCTCCTGGTGGTGGCTTAAGATCATCGCTACTTTGTTGACGTGAGTGTGCCGTGGCCGGGTGCGCTCCTAGCCCGTCGCGCCCTGCGTCGCGTCCGCGACCCTGAGACCAGGCAGCGGCGATGGGGGGTCACTGACCTTCCTCCGAAGTAGGGGCCGCCATGCAAGACATCCTTGCCTGGGGGATTCCACCGCGCCTGTGCAGAGAGCCGCCCGTCGTCCAGCTCTGTTCTGCATCGTCAGGTGGGGCCCTGGCACCTCGAGCCCATCAGAGCCGACTTCGATCCCGAGACTCGGTTGTTCCTGTTGAAACCTTCGCTTTCCCATTCGTTTTCCCACAAGAAGTCTGGGCCCTGTCGCGGTGACTTCTGCAATCTGGAAACTGCTGCTACGAGTTCACAACTGGCAGGAAGAGCTGACTTTGGAAGGCTGGGTCATTAACCCATCGCAGCAGCTGCGCGCAGGTTGTCTTATCCTGGTGATGTTCCTCCTTATCCTTCGCCCACTTGGTGAGAACGAAAAGCTCATGGATCCTCGACCAGGCCCCTCCCCAGAAAAAAATGCGGTGGGCTCGTGCGAAGTGGCCCGGTGGTTTCCCCGCAATGGGATGCGGAGCTTCTGTCCTGGGACAATCTCCTCTCAGATGCTCCCTTGCCGTCTAACGTGACCAATTTCTCAGAAAACCTTCGGCTTGTTTTGAGCATGTCGCATGCCGTTTGCCGAGTTCGAAGCCAGCTGCCTCGCTCCAGATCGCGTTCTCCCTTGGTTGGGTCACTTGAGGCTCGTCGAGTGCGAAGTGCGTCAATGGCAAATCAGGTCCTCGAGCATACACCATTATGGGAGCTGCAGAGTCTGGCCCTGGAGATTTTTTCATGCCACCCCCAAAATTCCATTGACCCCAATCAGTGGTGATTGGGTCCTTGACTATCCAACTCCGGCGGCATTCGTCCTTTACCAATTGTATTCGTGGAAGCCCCTGGCGGCGTCGACATCGGTACTCTCGATCCAGCGTTCTATACATCTTCAGGTGTCATGACCTGGTCCCCATATCGTCACGCAGTGCTTCGTATGTGTGGTCATATTTCCTGCCCGCTCGGCTCATATTTTCAATTTGGTCCATCGAGTCCCATGCAGTGTTTCAAATGCGCTGCGATGAAGGTGATGTCCAGATGGCGAAAGCGTAATGTTCTGGCCACGAATTGAGTGCAGTAGAATTATGAGTTCCCATCTGCTCTTACACGGCCAAAGGCACACCACTCTCGAGAAACTGTTACTTCTTGGCATAGGCCATACTCATCCGTATCCAAGTTGTCCTTCAGCTGTTGTCGGTACTGCTGGGTTTGGCGTGCACTTCCATCTTTGTGACTGCAATAATGATGGTCCACACACTGTGATTCCGTTCCCAAATCAATCAGTTCGTTCTGCATGTGTTCGCTGCTGATCTATATGAACACAGCCGCACTCCATTCGGTACATTCGCTACACAGAAGATGAGCTTATCCTTCGGGTCCGTATCCTTCTTGCCTAGGTCCTTCAAGCGGTTCCCATGTCCAGGGTTGCCCTGGTTGCCATCTGCGATGCTGTCCTGCCGATTCGTGAATCTCCGCGTGCCGTCGGTGATCCTCTTCATGTCACCCGTGAAGTTCACGCTGTGTTTGCCGCTGTCACACTTGACCTTGCCTGGCCAAGAGATGCTGCCCCAACTTATATTGTTTCTTGTCCTGGCCATGCTGCTTCTCAGCGTCACATGGTTTGCCCTCCGTCCAGATTTGCTCAACTGCTCCTTGAAATGCTGCCGGCGTTGGTGTGGCCACCGGTGCCCCATTTCATGATGAGGCCGATCCGCCGTCACCCTCCTGTGAAGGAGGAAGTGCTTGGGCTGGTTGGGGCGGTGTTCCTGGTGTTGTTCCGTCAGCCGTCCGTCTTTTACTATTTGCCATGCAATTGCGATGTTCATCCATGCCCTTTTTTCCTTGCCGCCGAATATCGAGACGATGGTCCAACATCTGGTGCTATATGGTTGCGTACCACTTGCAAGAATCCCACCAGCCTTTTGGCTGTAGGTGGTTAAAGGAATTTCCTCTTCCCCTTCGGGGAGGGGTTCATCACTGTTTTAGTACACGCCCCTCCCCCATGTGACTGGGAGCCATACCGAGACCATGCGGACCCCCCCCGCCATCCCTTGTAAGAAAACGTTCCATCCCTGCCAAAAAAAACAATACACAGTACACTTGGCGGCGGCGGCGGTTGCGGCGGCGGCGGTGGGGGCAACGGCTGCGGCGGCTGCGGCGGTGGCGGCGGCGGTGGCGGCGGCGGGGGCGGCGGCGGCGGCGGCCGCGGCGGCGGCGGGCGGCGGCGGCGGCGGCGGCGGCGGCGGCGGGCGGCGGCGGCGGCGGCGGCGGTGGCGGCGGCGGCGGATTCGCCCCCAGTAGCTGCCCATACAAAGACGACTGCTGAATATGCTGCGGCTCGGACCAGGCTCGGGTGCTACGTATGTGTTGGGAGTGCGGGTGGGAGTGAGCGAAACGGCCTGCGGGCGGGGAGGGAATCTTGACCCCTCCCACTACCCTCCCCCCTCTGGACCTGGACGGGGGACCGCGACGCGTTGGAGTGTCCAAAACGGCCTTGGCGAGGAAACCCAAATCACTGGTTTTACTAAGGTTTTGGCCCCATTTTGGCTTCCTCAGGGGGGTGGGCTAATTGAGCTCCCCCCCTCCTGTGATCGATCTCCTCCAAGATGGCCCCAGGAGGCGCCCAGGAGGCCCCAAAAGGCGCCGAGATGGCCCCGAGATGGCCGCATGTGGCCCCAAGAAGCCCCCAATAGGCCCCCAGGATGCCCCCAAGAGGCCCCAAAGAAGAGGCCCCCACGAGGCCCCAAGAGACCCCCCCAGAGGCAACCAAGACGCTCCAAGAGGCCTCGGCGAGAATGCCAAACTCATTGATGTTACTCAGATTTTGGCCACATTTGGGCCTTCTGGGGGGGGGCACTGCTTCAGATGAGTCCACGAGCGCCTGGGAGAGCCCAAGATGACCTCCAAGATGGCTCAAGATATCCCAAGATGCCTCAAGATGGCTCCCACGATGCTCCAAGAGGCCCCAAGACCGTCAGGACGGCTCCGAGTGGCCAAAGAGCTCCCCCAGGAGGCCCCGAAGAGGCCCAAATCCTTCCCAAACTTGAGGAACATAAGTGCTTTGGGCTTTCTCGCCTTTTCGCTTCCGATGGCCGTCCAAGGCTTCAAAATGACCCCAAGATGGCCCAAGAGGGCTCCAAGAGCGCTCCCAAGGCCCCCAAGAACGCTTCAAGAGGGCCCCAAGAAGCGCCCAGGAGGCCCCAGGAGGCCCCAACAGGCGCCCCAGAGGCCTCCACGAGGCCCCCAAGAGACCCCCAACAGGCCCCAAGAAACTCTCCGAGGCACCCAAGACGCTCTAAGAGGCGTCCGGAACCGCCAAGAGGCCCCCAAGACGCTCCAAGAGGCCTCCACTGGGGGACCCTTCCTCTGTGTGCTGCCCACTTCCCTGATCGAGGCACTTCCTCTTGCATCGTTTCTGGATGGGCTGGTGGGGCTATTTGGTCAACAGGCTCGCGAGGCGGGTCGAAAGCCGTCCGAACACTAGTCGGGCCGCGACTAGGCAGCAGGAAAAGAAAGGCAAGCGAAGCGAGCGAGCGGGCAGCCACTCAGAAGGAGAGCCAAAACCGATACTCCCAAACCCGGTGGCGTGGAAATCCCGGTGGCGACCAGCAAATAAACGCAGCCAAAGTGGAGCGGCGGCGCAACCATAAACACGCAGAGGTCGATGCTGGTGGGGCTACGCGATGCGTCTAGAATTAGTTGTTTGTGTTGCTGTCATTGTTCGATTTCTTTTTGGCTGAGGCCATACCCGCCGAGCTTGAAACAGTCCCAGTTGTCAGAGTCGATGGAATGCTCGAGGTATTCCTCTTTCAGGGCTGCAAGATGGAACGTGATACTGATCTTGGCAACCTCCGCGTCTGGACCTCATGCTTTGGAGAATCTTCGATGGATTGCTGGAGAAGGAACTGACAAGAAGCTTCAACATCGGCCGCGAATCTCGCCTGGTCCTTTGTTCCCTGCTCCGCTCTCTGAGGCCAAACTTTGCACGCTGCATCATGCCGTGCCGCTTTGTCGAGAGTCTCGCCGGCTTTGCGTGCCGCAGCCCCTGCACGATGTAGTTTTTGTTTGCTGCTTAAGGTCACGGCTTGAAATCCCGCGAGTTGGACTTCGATCCTTGGCCCGGCATGGCCACTGCCCTCCTCCTCCTCCTTCTCCTCCTCCTTCTCCTCCTTGCCCCCTCCCGATACAGCCGTGGCCGCGAACAAACATCCCAGAGACCCGGAAGAAGGGGCAACAAACCATGCCACAAGACCCGAACATCGGTCCTCAAACATAAGAGACCCCGAAGCCTGCGAACGCCTTGGGGGTCCTCATCAGCAGCGTGTCGCAGTCCCCGTTGACCCACGGTGCGTACTGAATCAAGGGGCTCCCGATCAGGTACGTGGACGTGCCGACCTGTACCGTCGTCGTTGTCGTACTGATCGCCCTTGTCTTCCTCTTCTCCTCCCCCTCCTCCTCCTCCTCCTCCTCCTCCTCCTCCTCCTCCCTCCTCCTCCTCCTCCTCCTCCTCCTCCTCCTCCTCCTCATCATCATCATCATCATCATCATCATCATCATCATCATCATCATCCCCCCCTCCTCCCTCCTCCCTCCTCCTCCTCCTCCTCCTCTTCCTCCTCCTCCTCCTAGTCGCCCTGGAGGACCCCAGTCGCACTGGATGGCGCTGCCCCACAAGAATTACAAGAATTCTGCCGTCGTGCAGGCTGACTTGCATAGTCGGTTTACTGAGGCCATTCGGGATGCCCGACACTGTTTGAGCCACCCGTGGGTTCGGCTCGTCGGGCGGGCAGTGGGCGTGAAGGAGGGAGGATGCGTACTCTGGTAGCTCTGACATCTCTTGTTCAGGGTGTGGCTGGAGCCTGAGGTTCTGGCTCGGCATGCGCATCTTGCCCGCCGCCCAGCGGATGGCGGCTTGCTTCTCCGTTGGGCTCGGCGCTGCCCACCCTTCGGCAGCTCGGCCTGGTCGCACACGTCGTTCACTTCTAATCGTGCTCACTTCTACGTGTGCTCGTGTCAAAATTGCTCCTGGCCCCCCCAGTGGCCAGGAAGAGGCCCAGGATCGCACAACCAGAAACGAAAAGATCCTGGTCCCCCCAGACAAAATTCAAAGAACTTTCGAAGACTGAGAAACGAGCAGTGTGCACACCTTCCGGTGCACCCGACAGCGCTGCCCGAGGCCGCCTGCGCACGCCTCGCGGCGAAGGCCCCCCAAATGCCTGCGGCCTCTGCCCGCCTTGCTCCTCCGCGGCCGCCCTCCCCCTGTCCCCCCGCCGCATGTGCTGTGCGTGATGTGTGTATTGTGTGTTGTGCGTGCGTGTTGCGTGCATTGTGCGTGTGTGTGTGTTGTGTGTGTGTGTGTTGTGTGTGTGCTGTGTGTGTGCTGTGTGTTGTGTGGGTGTGGTGTTGTGTGTGTTGTGTTGTGTTGTGTTGTGTGTGTGTTGTGTGTGAATGTTGTGTCTGTTGTGTGTGCCTCGTTCTGGTGTGGTCCGCCGGCTGGCCGAGAGCGCGTCGGCGCCCGCCCCTCGCTGCCGACCGACAAGTGCCGCGAGCCCGGGGCCTGCCGTCGGTGCGCTGACCTCAGGTGCCCTAAGTAAGGAGCGGGGCCCCCTTGCTCCCACGAGTAAAACTTCGACTTCCCATGGCAGGCCTCAGCACATCAGGAACGAGGCCCCGTGCTCCCCCACGGGTCCGGCTTCGACTTCCCACGGGGAGACCTCGGGAACGCCTCAGGCAACCTGCAGCACGATCCGGGGGCCACCGGGCCCCCTCCCCAACGAAAGGCGCTCCCCCCCCCCGACGCTCACTCCTCCCCGACTGCATCCCCCCCCCCCCCGACGCTCACTCCTCGGGCGCCCCCTCCTCCTCCTCCTCCTCCTCCTCCTCCTCCTCCTCACTCGTGGGCCTGGCGCGTGGGCCGCCACACCCACGGAGCAGGGAACGCAGCTGCCTCCCGAGGCGCGCGGCCCCGGCCGCCTGCTCTGCTGCGCACGGGCCGCCTGCTCAGGGCGACGCCGCGGCGCCGACGTCGCAGACCCAAGAAGGGGCCCGTCGCCACCCCCCGCGCCCTGATCCAGGTCTGCGCCTCCTCGACGTCGCCCTTCCGTTTTCTTCTCGCCTGCCTCCCTCCCCTGGGGGGGGGGAGACCCCCAGAGGAGGAGGTTGAGGTGGAGGAGGGGGAGGGAGAGGGGGGGGGAGGGGAGGAGGGAGGAGAGGAGAGGAGGAGGAGGAGGAGGAGGAGGAGGAGGAGGAGGAGAGGAGGAGGAGGAGGAGGAGGAGGAGGAGGAGGAGGAGGAGGAGGAGGAGGAGGAGGAGGAGGAGGAGGGAGGGAGAGGGGGAGGGGGAGGGGGAGGAGGGGAGGAGGAGGAGGAGGAGGAGGAGGAGGAGGAGGAGGAGGAGGGAGGAGGAGGAGGAGGAGGAGGAGAGGAGGAGGAGGAGGAGGAGGAGGAGGAGGAGGAGGAGGGAGGAGGAGGAGGAGGAGGAGGAGGAGGAGGAGGAGGAGGAGGAGGGGCGGCGAAGGCAGGGAAGGCCCTCCCCCGCCGCCCCGGTGCGCGAGCGGGGGGGACAGGCAGGCCGCCTCCCCGCGCGGTCGGCGGCGGTCTCGAAGAGGTGGGCGCTCGGCTCGGCTCGGCTCCGCGCCGCCGCGGGGTCTGCGCCGCGCCCCGCCACCGAGAGACGAGGCGCGCACGGGCACTGCCAGACGAGGCAGCGCAGCCGGACCTGGGCTTAAGTCAGGCCCGTCCCTCGACAGGGGTAACATTCAAAACTAGTCCAAGAAATAGTCTGGGGCCATGTTTTCAGTATTTCTGGGCATCTTTTTGCATACTTTCGGAGTACTTTTTTTTCGCCCAGAATCCCCCTGTAAGGGGACAGGCCCGACCTAAACCTGGGCCAGACCAGCGCCCCCCAAGAGCACGAGGCCTTCCGTCGGCCAGGCCATCCAAGGGCGCCCTCCCCCTGGCCATCGCTCGGACGTCCATTTCCTGTGTTTTTTTTTGGGTTTCGTGCGTGGCTTTTTCGCCAAATGATCAAGGAACGTCCTCAATGGTCCTCGCCAAGAAAAAAAAACACACACGTCCGAGCGATGCCAGGCCCCAGGACGCGCAGGGACGCCCAGCAGACACGAAGAGTCTCAGGGCAGCCTCCCCGAACCGACCTCTCCGCCCGACTGTCGCGCAAGGACATGAACGTCGGGAGGCACAGCTCGACGGGTCCGTCCGTCGCGGGGGGCCGGGGCGGTGGTGCGTACCACGGGAGGTCGGCGGCGGTGGGCGATGCCCGTGGCGAGCGATGTCGGTTGCGGCGGGCGGCTGCCGTGGCGGGGCTCTCAGACGAGGGCTTCCCGCGCCTCGGGAAGAAGGGGAGGGCGAGGAGAAGCAGGAACGCGTCCCGACCTGGCCCTCTGGCTCGCCCTCCGGGAACAGATTGTCGAAGAGGACGCCGTTGATGAACGTCCACGCGTCGTCCGGGGCCGACAGCTCGTAGAACGTCTTCGGGAACGCCTCCTCCTTTGGAGGGCCCAGGAGGGGCATGAGGTCGGCGGCAGGCGAGGGGGGGGGAAGCGAGAAAGAGAAGGCCTTCTCAGAAGGTTTGGAAGCCCCCCTGTCCTCCTGAGAAGTTGTCTAAGCCCTCCCCGAAGTCAGAAGAACAGCTTCTCAGAATGCGCGAGGGATTCTGAGAAGTCCCGCCGCCTTCTGAGAAGGCCTTCTCCTTCTCACTTCCCCCGCGGGCGCGCCGCTGAACTTGGTTTTTGGGTCCTAACTCGGGCCTCCGGCGGCCGTTCGGGACGACCTGGGCACCCCCGGAACGCCCCCGGCGAGGCGCAGCTGCTGACAAGCATCCCGCGGCTGGAACACCGCCGAGAACCGACGAGAGCGTCCGAAAACCTCGAACCTGAAACTTCCCCCCCTCGCTTGCCGCCGATGGATGCTCTTCGCCCCCCTTCGGGGCCTCCCGCCCGGCAGCCCCAAAGCGAGGCCCCCGCGCTCGCCGCCGAGGAGGTGCAGCGGAGGACCGTGCACAAGAAGCCGCCCACAAGAAACCCAACCCTGAGACCCCCAGACGTCGACTGATTCCTGGTGTGGGAGCGTCGCGCCCGAGAAGCGCGGAACCCTCGACACCCCTTAGAAGCCCAGGGCACCCTGGAGGCAAGCAGGGTGCTTCTTGGCATGGGTCCCTACTGTCGGGAGCGGCCAAGAGGGGGGTGTCCGAGAGGGGGGGGTGCAAATCATGACCGGCGGCGTGTGCGCGGCCCAGCGGGGGGGCCAGGGACGTAATGAAATAAGCAGAGCTCCTAGGCGCCATGACATCTGGGGAAATATCATGGCCCCCGCCACGATCTCCGCCCCCCCCCCTGGCCATCACCCCCCTCTTTCCCGCCCCCGATGCTGCAAGCGCCACGCGAGCGACGAGGCGGTCTCGCGCGCCAGCCAGGGCGCGGGGGCCTCACGCGGTGGCCGCGCGCGGGCGCCGAGGGCGAGGCGCGGCAAGCGCGCGCGGCCTGGCGCGCGGGCCCGCCTGCGCGCGGGGGCCTTCGCGCGGTCGGCGCTGGGTTTTTTCGCGCGCCGTTCGATGAAGGGGCCCTGGGACACACGAGTAAAAATACACACGAATGACAGGATTCCCAAGATTTTCCCATATCTTCTGGGTCTTTGTCTTCCCCCCCACACTTCCCATACTTTCCCCTCTTTTCCTGGGAGTGGACGATGAATTGTGTCTGCGTGTTTTTTTCCTCTCCTGATTCGAGGCCTCCGGGCTGGGGAGTGCCCAGAACTCCAACGCCTCGAACAGAAATCAGGGCGGAAGTTTGTCGCACTCCTCGGACTCTATATGGGGCCTTCGCCGGGCCCCGGGACCGGCAGAAAACGACTCGGGACGAAATGCCGGTCCGGGGGGGGAATCGGTCCAGACTTCCGGGGACCCCGTGTGGAAAAAATTACGACATCGGATCTCTGAGTAGATGAGGTCGGAGGATCGCGCTGCATCGGCGATGCATCGGCGATGCACCGGCGATGCATCGTCGGCGTCGGCGATGCAACGGCGACGTCGACGTGAAGGAAGTCGGGCTGTACATCGAGCCGCAGCGCCGACGCATCGGCGATGCGGCGCGATCCGCCGACCCCATGTATGAAGGGGACCTGGGACACACAAGTAAATAAACACGAGTAACCAGACTTCCAATCTTTTCATATATATTCTGGGTTTTTGTCTTCACCCCCACTTCCCATATTTTCTTACATTTTCTGGGAAATCGACGGTTAATTGTGGCTGTGGATTTTTTCCCTCCTGATTATACTCCGACCCAATCTAGGAAGGCTAGAGTCGTGCATGTCCGCGCGGGAACAAGCGTTCCAGGCGTCGGCGGCGCGCGGGGGGAAGCCGCAACGAGGCATGCGATGGCGCCTGGTCCGTCTGGAGCGCCAGATCGGCGCGCTGGTTCCCAGAGATCCAACGCATTGAAAAAATCAAGACGGAAATTTCTCCGAATTTTTCGCCTCTAGGGGCCCTCGCCGGGCCCTGGTACCGTCAAAAAACGGCCTCAGGATGAAAAACCCGTCCTGGGGAATGGGTCGAGACTTCAAGGGACCCCGTATGGAACAAATCACGACGCGGAGCTCTGGGTTCCAACAGGGCGCCGGCTCGGGCACCCTGGAGACGATGGAGCTCGGTCGAGGATGTCCGACCTCACACGCGTGACCCCCAGACACCCGGCAGCACGATGTTCCCGGACGTGGGCCCCTGTACCTCCGCCGCTCTCCGAAGGCCAGGCTTTCCGTCCCGGGTCGCGTGCTGATGGTCCTGCTCCCCGAAGCCTGCCTCCAGAGCCAGAGTTGTGAGAAGCCTGCCGCCTCAGATCCTTCGAGGCGCCAAGTGTTTGTGATTGCTGTGCCCACCGCCCCGTTCTTGGGGACAAGCGCATTTTTTCTTTGGCACCACCTGGCACTCCTGGGCCCCGAAATTGGTCCAACGCGTTGATGATTATGGCTTGTTTTACCCCGCACTCCTCGGCGGGGAGCTCATCGTCCACGACGTTTTTCTCGAAGTTCCAATTCATCATCCACGACGTCGCTTCACTCTGCAGCTCGAGGCTCATCCTGGTGTTCGACAGCCCCCCGCCCACGAAGATCGACTGCGTGGTGAAAAAGAGCGTCAGCATCCAGACGATCCACAGCGTCATCTCCTCGGCAGAAGACACACACACACACACACACGCATAAACTTAGACTTTCGGAGGGCTGCGCGGATTCCTTGGATCTGCGCTGGACCCCCCTGGCGGCGCCTTCGGCGCCGCTCCTGGCTCGCTCCGCGCGCCAGCAAAACCACCCGCGCGGACATTCGAACCTGTAAGACTGTGCAATCGGATGTTCTTCTTCTTCTACTCCTGGGACAGGTACCTGATCAAGAACCACTTGCGGTACGCGAGTCCATCGCTCTGCCGGATCGACATCATCATCTTTGTTGACATCGTGCCCAGCGCCACCTTCCTGTTCCAATTTCGCCTCCTCCTTTGGGCCGTACTGCCCCGAGAATGCAAGCGTCGGTTGCGCGGCGCTGAGGTCGCCCGCCCTTCGATGGCAAGCTTCTCTTCGACATGGTCTCCCCGCATCACGATGCTCATCTGCAGCAGCACGAGGTGGTACGCGCTGCACGGCCAACAAAGCTCCTTCTTGCCTGGCTCATTTCGCATGAACCAATAAATGAGGCGGGAGATCCTGGCCACGCCCCCTTTGGACTCCTTATCCTCGGGATTGCGGCCGGCGTCTCGGCTAGCTCTAGTGCGGTCATTCTTGTAGCTCGAGGTGATGCAGAGGAGCGGCAGGCAGTTGTAATGCGCGGCCGCCGAAACCAAGGACTCGACCGTCTCGACATTACCGTGGTACACCGCCAACTCCAATGGGGTAAAATGGTTGTGGTCCCGCATCTTCAGCAGATACTCGTTGCCGTAGTGCTTGTCGCAGTACAGCTCCACGAGGAGACTTGTCAGCCGGTGGTGGTTGTTCTCCGCGGCCCAATGCAGGGGGAGCCTCTTCTGCACGTCTAAGGCCGTCACCAAGTGACCGCAGCCCTTGCTGATGAGGCACTCCGCCCAGGCCATCTGCTCGTCACTGCCGGGGTTGTTGGACCTCTCGGCCCTGCTGCTTCCCCACTCTGGGGTCGCGAGGTCGTGCCAGACCGTGCGACCCGTGGCGTGCCTAAGGGGAACAGAAAGCGGCACAAACATACTTTTCAGGGAGATCCGCGCGGATTTCTTGGATCGACCCTCCCTGGGGCGCGGAGCGCGCCAGGGGCGGCGCCGGAGGCACCGCCGGGGGAACACGGCGCCGATTCAAGGTATCCGCGCAGACCTCTGAGGGCATGTTTTTCGGTGCCCTTCGGAGTGCCTCTGGTCAAACAGGGCGTGCTCGTGCCCGTCCACGCACTTGGCCTCGCGCAGGGCCTTCACCACCGACCACATGCCCCGCGCGGCCGCGGCCCGCACAGGCACCAGGCGCGTGGCGTCCGCGGGCTCGTTGATCCCAACGTAGTCGGGCTCGCGGTAGAACTTCTGCTCGTGGTCGGTGCTGCTCAGCATGGAGTACAGCTGCGTCACCGGCTGCTTGTCCTGGGGCTAAGGCGGGCATGTCCCCTTACAGGCAGATCTCCGACGACAAGAACACATGGTCCACAACATACTCTCAGAAGAATCCGAAACAATAAAAACATGGTCCCCAGACTATTTTTCTAGTATTCTTATATATTCCCCCTGTATAGGGACATGCCCGACCTAATCCTGGGGCCAAATCTGCCCAGGGGGCTCACCAACGGGGGGGGGGGCGCCACTGCCTCGAGGAGAAGCGCCCGGTGCCTGGGGGAGGCGGGCCCCCCTCCAGGAGCAGAGAGCACTCCAGAGCCTTCGAGGGGCAAGGATAGGGGGGCACTGGCATAGGGGGGGGGATACGTCGACCTGGAATCGGCGATACGTCGCCGATCGATCGGCCACAGGCCCCGATAGGGAATCCCAGGCAGGGCGGGGCTATCGGGCCCCTGTCGGCGATCAGTGGGCGCTTGCGTGTCCATGCGTCCCCCCCTGTGCTTATTCCCCCCTATCGTCGCCAGCCTTCCAGGACCACCCCGAACGGCGGGCAACCCAGACCTTTCGCTTTCTTCGGCGGTGGACAGGCCTCCCTTTAGCAAACCACCCTTTAGTGAAAACGGCCTGGGACCGAAACCGACTGACCTGGACCCGCAAAAATGACGGCTGCGACGCCCTCTCGCGAACCGAAAACGGCTGACTCACTCATCGACGTGTCAGGGCAGGTCTATCAATCTCCGTGTTTTGACAACAATCGCGACGGGATGTCTTTTGCTATTTCCGGCCTCCAGGGGCCCTCGCAGGGCCTCGGGACCGCCAAGAAGCGACTCGGGGTGAAACGCTGGTCCCAGAGATGAAGGGGCCCTGGGACACACGTATAAATGCACACAAATAACAGGATCCCCCTATATTTTCCCAAATTTTCCGGGTTTTCATCGTCCCCCCCCACTTCCCATATTTTCCCATACTTTCGGGGGAATCGACGATCAATTGTGTCTGCGTGTTTTTTCCCCTCCTGAGAGGAGGGGGTCCAGACCTCTGGGGGTCGCGGCTGCGAAACGAGATGCGACGTCGGGGGTCTGGGGACCTCCTCGGGCCTCGAGCCAGGAGGCGCCGGTGAGCCCCGCAGTGGCGAGGCCCCGTGGCACGGTCACGGTGTCCTTTCCCTGCTGGAACTCCGACGTCACCGCGCCGTTCCGCCGCACGATGAGGCACGCGATCTCGGAGCACTCCGCCTGGATGGCCTCCTGAAGCACGGTCCTGCCGTCCACCTTGGCCTGGAGATCCCAGGCGTCCACCTTCTCGCGCGCGTTCGCGGGGGGAAGAACACTTGGCAGCAGTCGTTCGGCATCGAATCGGGAACTCTGGGGGACACGATTTTTGTGTGCCACCGCCACAGGCAAGCCGGTCTCGTACAAGACCGTCGAGCGGGGCTCTGAACAAGCACGACGTCGCCTGGGGACGCGGCTTTTGCACACCACCCTCGCAAACGAGTTGGCCCAGCACAAGGCTTAGGTCGGGCATGTCCTCCTACAGGCGGGCCTTGGGCGAACAAATAAAACATGTTCAAGCATGGCTTTTTAAATTGGAAAAATCGTCCCTCGACATTTTTTTTTAAATACTATTTTGGGGTATCCCTCCAGCCGATTGCATCGGAACGTGCGCAGGAGCGGGCCGAAGCGGCAGAGAGACCCGAGATCGGCTCGGGTCGGCACGCGCCGGCACGCGCAGCGTGTCCCCCCTCCCGCTTCGCCCCCCTTCCCCTTAACCCCGCGCTCGTCGTTCGTCCGTCGTACAGTCGGGGCGTTGACCTGAGGAACCCTAAATGAGGAAAGAGGCCCATCTTCTCGTAAGTTAAACTCCGATTCCCCATGGGAAGCCTCGGGAAAACCAAAGGCAGACTGCGAGGCAATCGAGGAACACCGAGCCCCTCCCCGACGAAAAAGGGTTCCTTCTTCAGCGCCCCGACCGTGCGTCGCCTTCGTCGTCGGGTCGTGCCGTCCCTCTGCCCTCTGCCGTTGGGCCTCCATTCGCTGGTCGAGAGTGCCGGGACGCACGGCGGCGCCATTCGGCCATCGGGCCGCGTCGCGTCGACGGGGAATCGGAATCGAGTCGGATCGAGGATCGATCGGGTTGAAATGGGCCCTCAGGGAACGCCGGCGACCCCGAACTTTCGACGCTGCGATTTTTCCCACCCCGTGGGCCTGCGGAGGCCTTGGCGGTTCTCAAGGGCTCTTGTTCTGGCCTTGGGGCCCAGTGGGGCCCCCGGAAACTGGGACTGATGAGCACCTCTCGTTCCGATGCAGTGCCATGCGAGTTAATCGGGGTCTTTGAGGGAGACCACCCACCTTCTCGCGCACCCTCACTTGGTTCACAACCTTCTCGTCGCCAGTCGCAGCGAGCACGGCGATGCAGATAGGCAACTGCACGAGCTTCGACTCGCTGAAGCCCTCCTTGGGGACCAGCCCGGGGAAGGGTGAAGCTTCAGCAGGAGGAGTAGGATGAGGAGGAGGACGAGGAGGAGGAGGACGAGGAGGAGGAGGACGAGGAGGAGGAGGAGGAGGAGGACGAGGAGGAGGAGGAGGAGGAGGAGGGAGGAGGAGGAGGAGGAGGAGGAGGAGGAGGAGGAGGAGGAGGAGGAGGAGGGAGGAGGAGGAGGAGGAGGACCCTAGAGCATAGAAAGAGAACGAGTCCTGGAGCAAAGGGGTTCTGGATCTGCGTTTCGCGGCGTTGGCGCCCCTGGAGCCCTCCGCGGGCACGTGGACCCGTTTCCCGCAGGAGACCCCCTCACCATGGGGAAGGACGGTCAGCGGAGGACGACGACGACAAAAATCAATGTAAGGCTGTTCGCTCTTGTCTGCTCGCGTGGCAATCAACATGTATATCCCGAGCCCCTGATACCCGCCCTCTTCTTCGCCACTGGTCGTATATACCCCCTCCCCCTGTACATCTTCCTGACCTGCCACGCGTGAGTGGCGCAGCCCCCAGCGCAGGGCGAGAAGGGAGGCACGACAACCCATTTCAGCGAGGAGGAGAGGAGTGCGGGACGGGAGGGAAGAGGGACCGGGGCAAGGGGCATGGGGGAGGGACGGAGCACGCGAGAGGTTGACAGGAGGGGGGTTCGGGGGCAGGAGCGCAGGCGGCAGAACCAGACGGCGGGTCAGGCGGGGGGGGGGGGCCCTCACGGGCGGGTCGGTCGGGCGGGCCAGGACGGCCGGGTCGAGCAGGCGGGCCGCTGGAGCGTCGTTCCTGCATGGGTCGAGAGGAGTTCTCTAGCGGTGGCGCGGTTCCCAAGCAGATCGTGCAGAAGTCGGCAGCGAGAACGTGATTCCCGAGTGTTGAGGGCGCGGCGCCTGAATACTTTGCGAGGAAGTCCCGCGCGAGAGCGCGGTTCCTGGGTGTCGTGTAAGGACGTCTCGAGCGAGAGCGCGATTCTCCAATATAGTGTGAAGAATTACCAAGCGGGTGTTTTAATAGAACGGGGGCCAACACAGCTTGGATACCTAACGTTTCTCTATATGCTTTCTATATCAACAGACTATAGTATATTGCACTCTCTCATATTATATGGTGTTTTCTTATATTATGGTGTAGTAGCTTGTACCATGCGATGTGTTATCACACTACGTCACTGCGCATTCTATTATGTTATACGATATGTTTTGTATGATTGCAAAACACATTATATTATAAGGTATTACGGTGTAACATGGTATTGTGTAGTACGTTCTGACCTTACCAGGAAAGGTTTTACTAGGTTATACGTTTCCACTTGATATTTTTATCAATACGACATACAAAAGCATGTCATGTTAGATCACATGCGCTCATTTTCTATATACACATATAGAGCCCCATGGGAATCTTGGGCGGATTTAGCTGGAGAGCAGAAAAAACCCAATCATCCAAATGAGCGTATAGGGCTCCTGGGATTATCACCCGGGAAATCACAACTTCCACATGACAACATAGGGTTTGACTTTGTCCTGCTTGCTGAAAGGTCCTTGCCAGCTGGTGTCTTCGTTTGTGGAGGATGGCGCCAGTGCAAGCGTTGGTCTGCTTTGCGTGAAATTGAAAAAGAGACGCCCGCAGCTGCCAGGGGAAGTGGCAAGCTAGGGGGAGGACGGACAGGAGGATGTAGGACAACGGGACAGAGAACGGTAAGGGGAACGGAGGAGGTAGGAACGGAAAAGGACAGGCGAACAACGTGAAAAGAAAAGAAGACGATGGATGTGTGCTGGAGGGGGGGCTGTCCACACACACACACATATACATACACACATCTATATATATGTATGTATATAGGTACAGGCGCACATGTGGGTATACATATGTGTGCACGCGTCGCACCGGTGCGCGCCGATCGCACACGCACACACACACACACCTGTCAGCTGTCAGCATGGGACCGGTAGACACGTCGAGCAAGATAACGCCCAGGCTGCGCCGGGCTTCGGCCCGCCCCTGCCGCGAGGGGGGCGCCAGGACGCCCCTCGAGGAGGAATCAAAAAAAGGAGGAAGGAGGAGGAGGAGGAGGAGGAGGAGGAGGAGGAGGAGGAGGAGGAGGGAGGAGAAGGAGGAGAGGAGGAGGAGGAGGAGGAGAGGAGGGAGGAGGAGGAGGAGGAGGAGGAGGAGGAGGAGGAGGAGGAGGAGGAGGAGAGGGGGGAGCGACTGCTGCTGGGCCACGCAGCGCACCGGCTGTGGTCCGCGGCGAGGGCGGGCGCAGCACGCGCTTCGGGGAGTCGGCGGGCCGCGCCCGGGCAACGGGCAGGCACAGGCGGCCAGGGTTGGGTCGGGCATGTCCTCCCACAGGCGGGGTTTTGGAGCAAAAACGAATGCAATATGGTAAGAAAAATGCACCACCCCCAACAAATCACCAGAAGCACCAGGGAGAAGTGGTCCCCACGATGTGCGGACTGTTCTGGAACATTCCGCCTGTAGTGGGACATGCCCGACGTGAGACTGGGGGAACCACAGGGCGTCCGCGGAGGATTGTGGATGCCAAGACTTCGGACAGCCTAACAACCCTATCCATGAATGAAACATCTGTTTCAACTGCTTGAAACATGTTCTTAACATGTGTTAACCATTCGTCGTCGTCGTCGTCGTCGTCCTCGTCGCCTTCCTCCTCCTCCTCTTCCTTCTCCTCCTTCCCCTTCTCCTCTCCCTCCTCCGCTTCCTCCACCTCTTCCTCCTCCTCTTGCTCCTCCTCCTCCTGCTCCTCCTCCTGCTCCTCCCTCTGATGCCGAGGCCCTCCTTTGCAGTCGGCCCGAGCATCATCTGGACAATCTTCATGCGCCACTCCCGGAGCTCGTCTGGCCAGTCCGGGCCCTCGGGAGAGGGGAGGAGGGGGAGGAGGAACGAGGAGGGAAGGAGGAATGAGGAGGGGAGGAGGAGGGGAGGAGGAATGAGGAGGGAATGAGGAGGGGAGGAATGAGGAGGGAATGAGGAGGGGAGGAGGAACGAGGAGGGAAGGGGGTGCCGAGGGGGAGGATAAGGAGGAGCAGGAGGCGGAGGAAGAGAAGGAGCGCAGCAGCCGGGACACAGCAGGCTCGGAGTCACGGGGCGCTCTTGTGCAGCATCTTCGCGAGCTTCTATTGCAGAACATGCAGCAGGAGCATCAAGGGCACGACGCTCGTGTGACCCATCTTCACGGGCTTCATCAGCAGGAGCAGCATTCGCATGATCAACAATGTGATTCGCCACAGGCCTGATCAAGAACTCGACCATTGATTGACCTGAGTATTAAGATCGATGGCCTGTGTCGGTGACGACGAAGTGGTCGAGGGCGCAGCAGAATGTGCAGAGCAGCTTGGGCGCATACACGAGGCACCAGCGGAGCACAAGTAGTCGCCGAATCCTTGAAAATGAACTCGATCTTCTCCGTGTTCGTGGGAGGGTTGGACATCGGGATGCGAAAAGATGTGCTGGTGTTCATCGAACCGACTGGCCACCCGAGGCGAGCAGCAGCAATCGCGTCAAAGGAGGCAGATCCACAGGGGGGGGGAAGGGCAAGCGTCCCGATGTAGCCACACAGCCAAGCAAGTGCTTGGGCCAAAGTGACTGGAGGGGAGGAGGAGGAGGAGGAGGAGGAGGAGGAGGAGGAGGAGGAGGAGGAGGAGGAGGAGGAGGAGGAGGAGGAGGGGGAGGAGGAGGAGGAGGAGGAGGAGGAGGAGGAGGAGGAGGACGACGAGGAGGAGGAGGGACGACGGAGGAGGAGGAGGACGACGACGAGGAGGAGGAGGATCAGGGTCCTCAGCAATGTTGGCTGAGTGCTCCCCGCCACCCGCGGGAGGGGGGGCCGGCACGAGCGCGCTGTCCGTCGCGCGGAGGTCGGCGCGCCGTAGGATACGTTCGTGATTAAATACTTCACGACCCAGGTGGAATGCATCAAGGTCTACGGGATCATCACCAAGATCAGCGTGACATGCATCACGAAGCACGCGGATATCATTCAGAGCGACATGGCGCACCTCGAGATCAATAATTGAAGGCCACGGCCTGCGAGACCTGCCCGCCCCGGTGGAGAACTACCAACGAGTATGTACGTCGAGGCTGGACACGCAGAGAAGAATACGGGCGCGAGCAGACGCGGCCCAGAAACGATTGGGCACAGCGTCCGACACGGAATACTACCGCGATCCGACGACACTCTTACGATTGCCACGGCCCCCCTCGAGATGGCGTCCAAGGCAGCCCAGGCTCATCGAACCGAACGCGACCGTCGTGTGCGCCCTCGCACTCCACACGAAGCACCTCACGACCCGCGTGTTGAACCCTGCGATCAACGTTCTGAACCCAGTGATCCGCGCGCAATACTTAATGATCGTCTTGTGGAACCTCACGCTCGCCGTGCGTGTCCCCACGATCTGCGCGCGGAGCCTCGTGATTTGCACGCGGAGCCTCCCGGTCTGTGCGCACGGAGCCTCGCGACCGTCGTGCGGAACCTCGCGGTCGCCGCGCGGAACCTCGCACGGAACCTCACGATCTGCATGCGGAACCGCATGGTCAGCGTATTGAATCGCGTGGTCAACGAGCGGGAGCTCGCGATGCAAGGCCTGGCTGACACCCCGCTGCCTCGATCGATCGCGAGGGCGACGGTTGCGAGCGCGAATATGGGGTCTTCGAAAACAACTACCAATGCGACAGACGCGAGTACGACAACGAATGCGACGCGAGTCCAGGATGGTGGGTGGGAAGCGTGCTACCGCAACAGCAGGTTGGCTACGTTGTCGTCGATGCAAGTCCACATGTTGTGCCAGCGCCACATGCTGAGCTGCTGAAGTCACCGCCTGAACTACGAGGGCCAAATGCTGAGCTAAGAGGGCCACGAGCTGAGCTACGAAAGCCACCAGCTGAGCCAAGAGGGCCAACAACTGAGTTACGGGGGCCATGTGCTGAGCTACGAGAACTGCCAGTATAGCCACCAGGACCACCAGCCAAACTACGCGAGCCCCCCGTTGTGATTCGAGGTCCACCACCAGAGCTACGATGAGAACTACCAGCGCTGCTCCGAGGGCCTCAGGCCGACCTACGGGAGCAACCTTCCCAGCTGCGAGGGCTACCAGCAGAAGTACGTGGACCACCAGCAGGGGTTTCGACGACAAGACACAACACTTCGAGAACCACCCGCAGAGCTACGAGGGCAACCAGCAGAGATCCAAAAACTACCAGCAGAGCTAGGAGGATACCCAGTAGAACTACGAGTGTCACCCGCCGCACTACGAGGACGACAAGCAGAGTTCGAGAACCACCACCTGCTCATCGAGGGCTGCCAGCAGAGCGTCGAGGGCCACCGGTCAAGCTTCAAGGGCCACCCGCCGATCCACGAGGACCGCCACCAGAACTACCAGGGCCACCTCCTGGGCTAAGGGAACCACCGGCGGAGCTACGATGGCCACGAGCTGAGCTACGTGGGCCACCAGCTGAGCTACGAGGGCACGCCGCGCAGCTACGAGGGCTACTTCGGCTACCAGCTGAGCCGCCAGGGACAGCCACAGGGCGACGAGTTTTTTTTTGCTAGATGCAGCTGCCTTGCTAGACTCCAGCGCCAGAACACAAGGTCTAACAAACAGGAAAACAGATGACCCCACTAGGGGTCCAGACACTCTGGCCTTTGGCCCCACTCCTTAGTTCCCCTACGGGGGGGCAGCCTCTTCCGAACTCTCATTATAGCAGTGTACTGGGCCTCATGAGGGAGAAACGTCCAAACCGAACGCACTCGCACTCCTGAGTCAGGAGCTTGGGGGTACCCTCGGCGTACCTCCCACAAACTCCCCAGAAAACAAACCCGCCTTTCTGCCAGAGAGAGTGGGAGCTGTGGAGTGGGTGGCCTCTCCAACCCTGCCCCTCAAAACGAGCGGGGGGGTCGGGCCAGCCCATAAAACCGAAGAGTTGCTCATCAAAGGGTGGTGAGGATTCAAACCCACGGGGAAGGCGAACCGCCACGCGAGGGGGAACCACAGGCAGAGACGCAAGGGAACTAGAAAGAGCCAAGCACGCAGAGCGCAGCCTGGGCAGGACACAACTCTGCGTCCGAAACACAAGTCTGCCACACAGCGAGCAGCTCCAACCCCGAGGGAAATCACGCCAGACATGGTTGGAGCCGCTCTTTGCCTTGCCAATAGCCGCCACGCGCCTTTGAGCCCGAGAGAGGCGCGGTGGGGCCACCTGCCTCTCTGGATCCTTTGGCACAGCAGCGGCAGCAATGGCAAGAGAGGCGTTACGACACAAAATAGCCTCGGCCTCCTTGAGGAAAGTGCACGCGCGATCGGCAAGCGAAGAGGGCACCTGGGCGCGCGCGGCTCGAGCATCCGCAAGGCCGTCCGCCACCGCGTTCAGGTACACGCCTCCCGATTGGACTGAGGCGCCGAAACGCGCCAGCCTGCCCCCATCCTCGGCCAGGTGGGAGGGAACATGGGAGAGGATAAGCGGGGCAGGCCTGGCTTCAGCGAGCCTCCAGAATTCATACCAAAGGTCGGCGTTCTCGAGCTTGACACAATGATGCCTACCGCGGGCGTAGGCTCTAACATGATTAGTGTGATCCGAGAGAATAGTGAGCTCTTCGTCCTGGCGGACAGCCCTCAGCACTTCGATGAGACCCAAAAGCTCGGCCCGAGGGACCGTCTGCTTCGGGCTGTCCACCAGGCCCGTGCATCCCGAGTCCCATGAGAGGGGGCTCAGGGAGGCCAAACGAGCAAAACCCCAGGCCACCCTTCGGAGCAAGGGTTGCTTCCCGTGCTGGCCCCCCGAACCGTCAGCGGCGTACGTGCCACCAGGGAGGGGCCAGGCCTGGACTCGGATCCATTCAAGACAGCGGTCCTCAGGAGGGGGAGGGAGCTCGAGCCAGGGCAGGGGGATCAGGCCCCTGATCCAGTAAATTGGGGCCTGACCGGCCTCCTGCAGAGCCTGGCTAGAGAGGTGATTCGTCTCAACTAGAAAGCTGGACGGAGGCTCGACTCCTACCCTCGCAGCCCACTCCGGAGAGAAAAAGTTACACGGACATTCCGAAAACCTGAGCACACTGGTTTCAGGAGAGCGCTTGCAACGCTGACAACAATCACCAGTCCTAAAACCTGCCGAGAAACGTCGGGACTCCGTCCAATATCCCACACAAGCAACAAGACGGACCATACTGGCAAGCGCTGGCTGGTCACTCTTTTCCAGCCTCTCAGCTAGAGGCCACATGCTGGTACCAAACCCCGCGGCCAACTGAGCTGCGAGGGCGACCAGCCGAGCTACGACGGCCACCAGAAGAGATTCTACCACACGGTCCGCGCAACGAGGTGGAGGCCGCGACAACCAGAGGGATCGCAGCCACCTGCCGTGGGACAGAGACCGCCAGCTGCGGATCCCTGCGCTAGAGGCCGCCTACGAGGCGAGCAGCACCTCTTACGACGATTACAAAGAGCGCATCGCCATTGCCGCACGCCGTGCGAGTGGCCTACTTACTGCCCTACATGAACTACTACATGATCATCGCGTGGCACCTCCCAAGGCTCGAGCTGAACCGTGTTCTTCGTGTCCGTGTTGTTTTCATATTCCTTTGTCCTGTCCTCGTTCTGCCTCTGCTGCGAAACGAAACCAAAACGACAAGGGCCCACGAGATCGCCACGACACCGTTTGGCTCGAGCCCTGGCACCTCACGACGAGGGCGCGGCCGGCGGCACAACGGGCGCGCCTGGCCTGCCGGAAGCCAGCAGGATACGGACCAGGCCTACATGAGGGGGCCCTGGGACACACAAATAAGTACACACAACTAAAAGGAGTCCCCATACTTTGCCATACTTTCTGGGTCTCGTCTTCCCCCCCACTTCCCATACTTTCCCATA